TAAAGCTCACCAGGTAGCCAGTCGCAGGGAAGATAACACGGCCATCAATGGTGTGTCCGGTGAGGTACTTGTCGGAGTCCTTGCTCACATCGACCTCGATGACGCTCTCACCGGAGCGGGAGCCCTTGCCGGAGAAGTCAGCCACGGCCCACTCGGTGGAGTGGTCCCACTTGACCATGGAGGCGAGCATGGGGGTGCCTCTGGACACGGGGTACTTGATGGGGGTGAGCAGGCGGCCGACCTGGGGCTGGGCACCGGCGATGTATGCCCTGCAAAAAGAAAATAGATGTGTTAAGGGCTGTTTAAGGGGTAAACGATACTGTATCAGTCGCAAATCACGCAGAGAGACCGCTACTCACTTTCCGATGCTGGAGAGCATGAAGTTCAGGTTGTCGGGGTGGTCACGCTTCATGAGACCGATGCTGGTGACACCGGTGCCGCGGGCGCGCTTGATGATGGCCTGGAGCAGGCAATGGGGGGCGATCTCGATCACGCAGGCGTTCTCGGGAACGTGCTGCAGAGCCTCGGCGAACAGGACGGGGGACAGCAGGTTGTTGACGTGGTAGTCGACGGAGGAGAGCTTGGCCAGAGGGGAGTTCCAGTCCTTCTCGGGGATTGAGGTACTCAGCCAGCGGGAGGAGCGGGGCTTGGGGTTGGGCAGGAGGGCCTCCAGGCTCTTCTTGAGCTTGGGGCCGGCTTCAGCGACGTACTTGGAGTGGAAGGCCACGCCAGAGCTGGCCACCTCCTTAGCGAAGATGCCCTCGGCCTGCAGGCTGGAGACGAACTTGCTGATAGATTCTGGGGGACCGGAGATGGTGACGGAGTCGGCGGAGTTGTGGCAGGCGGCGACGATGTCAGCAGGGACGCGGGCCTTGACCTCCTCCCAGCTGAGACCTGTCATTGAAAGAAAATCGAACATTATTCTCTGAAATAATTATGACTAAAGTGATTTGTAAAAGGTGTAGTCAGAACTGCAGGACTCATATCATATTAAGTCATACGGACGAATTAGGTCATCATCGCGTTAAAATATACAAGGCTAAAATGTGAGTAGCACTTACCGACGGCGGCCATGGCACCGGGGGCCAGCTTGCTCTCCAGGATGGAGCGACCTCGCCAGTAGGCGGCCAGGACGGTCTGCTCGGCGGTGAAGGTGCCGTCGGCGTAGGCGCAACCCAGCTCTCCGACGGAGTGACCGATGATGCCGTCGGGCTGCATGCCCAGGGCGTGCAGGGTGTCGACGAGCGCCACCTGGACGGCGGCGATGGACACGAACGAGTTGAGCACGTTCTCGAAGGTCTTGGCGTCACTGTTGACCACGATGTCGATGAGGTTGACGCCGTGGGGCTTGAGGGCGGCGGCGCAGGTGTTGATGGCCTTGGCGAAGGGCTCGAGGCGCATCATGGACTTGGCCATGGCGCCCCACTGGGAGCCCATACCGGAGAACACCCACCACACGGGGCGGCCGGCCTCACCGGCCATAGCCACCTCGCGCATGGGGTCACCAGCGCCTCCGACCAGGGTGTAACCGCGGTAGGTGTGGCCGGCGATGTTCTGCTTGTGGATGTCGGCGAGCAGGTTGAGGAACTCCTCGTCACGGTTCTGCTCGGCCTGGTCCAGGAGGAAGTCAACGGCCTCCTCGGTGCGGCCGGACACGGCTACGACGCGGGCCACCTCGGGGTTGATGGGGGTGATTTGGGTCTTGTTCTTGGGGTTGGACTTGAG